TTGGTGGTTGTGCTGACAGCGGCCATATTTGTGATTATAAATGAACGCAGACTATAGCCTTCACCACCAGCTACGAACTGCGAACAAGGCGTTTAAGCTTTCAGAAATCGCAGCAACAACAGTAAACTTAATGTCTCGGTTGACTATCCCGCTTCTGACACCATGTTATGATGGACGAAGGACAACAAACAAGCTCAAACATCAACGAGCTTTTAATTTCGGATCGTCCAAAAGCGCACACTTGACCACGAGGTCTGGGTTACAAAGGATCGTGTCACGTGACGTATACGAGGCAAAAAATAACACAATGATATCATAACAATATTCTTCTCAATGTCAATGCTTGGCTGTACGGGATACTTTGTTGGAGGTGTGGTGGATGTGCTTAAGTCCAGTGTAGGTATGGGTGTGTGTCTGTAGGTTTCTGATAGACGTCGGTGCTGATGTTGCCTTGTCTATCCTCTAGGACTGTCGTATCCAGAAAGTTAACTGAATTAGTGGATATTTCGTGTGTGAATTTGATTGACGGTGCTGCGTTGTTCAGGTGGTTAATGAATTCCGTTAAGGAATCTATGTCCCCTTTCCATATTAAGAAAATGTCATCTATGAACCGTACCCAGATTATAACGTAGTTGGACCACTCTGTTTTGTATACAAAGTTTTCTTCGAATCTTCCCATATAGACATTTGCGAAGTTGGTTGCAACTCTGGTTCCCATTGCTGTCCCCTGGATCTGGATAAAATGTTCGTCATTGAAAGTGAAGTTGTTCAATCTCAAAACCTTTTCAAGAAGGCATGTCAAAGTTTGAGACGATGGCTTGACCCGGTTCGTTTTTATAAGTTCCTCCTGAACGACAGTAAGTCCTTCATCAATATCAATAATTGTATATAAGCTTGAAACATCTAATGTTACTAAATAAAATTCTACGGGTAGTTTTCCCAAGACTTTTATTCGTTGAAAAAAACGTCTGCCGTGTCGCGAATATAGAAAGGTAATCGCTGTGCTATAGGTCTTAAAAATTCATCCACATAAGCTCATATCTTCTCCGTGTGGCTGTTAACGGAGGAGATAACTGGTCTGCCAGGGTGATTGATTTTATGTATTTTGGGGAGCATGTAGAATATTGGGGTTCTAGATTGCCCAGGTTTTAAAAGTTCTGCTACGTTTCGTTGTATTTCTCCGTTCTTTACGAGATCGTCTATGCACTGGTTAATCGTTTGTTCATGTCCCGAAGTGCAATCTTCTTCTATTCTCTTGTAATACGTGTCATTATCTAGTTGGCGTTTCGCCCCCTGTAGGTAGTCGGTTGTGTTGAGAATAACTGTAGCTCCGCCCTTGTCTGCGGGTTTTATAATTATGTCTCTATTATTACTTAGTCTATCCAAAGCTAATCGCTCACGCTTACTAAGATCGTTGCGTTGAAAACGACGATTATGTACTGTTCTGTCGGTGATTTCTTGTCTTACCTTCTCAATATACGTATTCAAATGAGGGTCTACAATATGTCTTTTGCTCCCTGTGGTTCAGCTTTTCAAGTATTGTGGATTGGTAGCTGGGATTGTCGGTTATTTCATCTATGTTCTCTGGGGTACGGTATTCCCTGAGGCTCAGTCTGCGTGCAAAGGCATCAATATCCTTATTAATATTATCAATTGTAGGAGGAGGTGTAGGACAAAAGTTCAATTCTTTCTGAAGTAGATCTGTTTCTGATTGAGTGAGTTGAATATCAGATAAGTTTACTATTCGTCTCTTCAAAATTTCTTTCGTTTTGTATGATCCATTACGTTTGGTTATTTTCATTGTCCTTTTCCGTTCCAAATTGTGGTTATCGGTAAATGTATTTCGACGAAATTTGTAATTTAGTCTTTGTATCTGGATCTGTTGGGTGGGCGCCATTTTAAAAAACGTTGTCGCTGTTCAAAATACCTCGGTTGTTGTGGATAGCGTGAGCGGTCCCATGTGTTTTGTCGTCTAGAGGGTACGTTGCCTCTCCCTTGGCCAGCTCCCTTATTTGGTCTTGTGCTCTCCGTATTTTCAGAGCGACTGGGGTTCAATCTCTCGCGGATGTGTCTCTTCAAAACGTCAGCATAAGTCTCATTCTCCCGTCTGGGAGGTTGCACCGTTTCCTTACTCTTGCGGGCTGTCTCCAGCTTCTTTTGTTTTGCCTCTTTTATCTTTTTCTCTTTACCGTCTAATTGTTGTTTATCTCTCTCAGTCCAGCCTTCTATCTTGTCAAGCGATATATATATATATATATACTAGTTTACAGTGTATTTTGGTATTGAACGGCGGGGAAGAGTTACTTAATCTTGCCATGATGATATTTACATGCACGTGAACTATTTGCCAACATGGAATTTGAAACCACGTATTACAAAAAATACATGCAGCGCATTTGTAAGCCCGCCCCAAGGGAAAAAGGGGACCTCTGAAACCGAGATGAGTGGAGCTTCGTCGGACTTTAAAAAGATTAAAATGGAAGTAAATAGTAGAATCGAACAATGTACGAACTGAGCCACGCGAGAATGAGAGCGAGACGGGGAGGACTGGGCAAAAAACCCTCAAACCCAGGCCTAAAGAATGTGTAACGTTTGTAACGCAATGTGTGAACAGGAGATCAAAACAGCAGGGAACAGCATAAGGAATGCGACAAAGGAAAAAACAACCTCTCTTCAGACCTCAAGCCTGATGCGAACAATAACGGGAGGAAGGGGCATACCAGCGAAACGGAACAGATGGAGACAATAACAAGATAAAGAAAAGGCGCTGTAGCTGAAGAAAAGCGGCACCCAAACGGCGCTTGACGCACGGTAGACGTAGAAAGCAGGCGACGACAGGACTGCACCAAGCGATAAAAAGGCTTCCAGCGGAAAGTTTAGCTGAAGAAGAGCAGCCCCTAAGCAACGATAGACGTAGAAAACAGGCGGCGACAGAGTGAGCTGGGCGATGAAA